CAGGAAATACATATTAACTTTATTAAAATTTTGTATTCTATAGGGAGGTTAAAGGGTGTTGAGCTTAAGTTGTTATAAAGAGAAAAAATATACATCGAATTCAGTTATTGCTTTATATAATATTTCTTGTAATTGTGAATCAGTACTTTTTACATCAACAAATGAAAAGTACAAGCTGATTTAGTTGTGTCTATTTATAAGTTCGTTAAATTTTTAATGTCGATTTCCAAGCAGTGACATAAAGTCCTGGAAAATTCACAACTTTCTTCAATATCTGAAATAAGAAAAAATAATTTTAAAGGTGCGGATGGTTTTTACACAAATATGGTGCGCCATTTAAAATAAAAATTAATTAAGTTTTTAGTCGGCCGGGAAAAAGCTGGGAAATTTGTCAAGCATGCGGAAAGTTTTCCAAATCGCGCCATGTCGACGACAGAATATGACAATTTTTTACGCAGAAAATGTAAATAATCAATTTCGTTGTGCCTCTCCGTTTCATCCTTAATCACACATTTAATAATTAATTACTTCTCCTAATAATATAAGTGATATAAAGTGTATGCAAACAAAATCGGAAAACTAGAAAAAGAAGGTTGATTTTGTTTCCTATAAACATTCTGGACTAGAGGGGAAAAACCGGGAAACCTTTTTTTGACCTAGCACTGGACTAATAGTACTCACTAGATATAGATAAGCGAATCGGTTTCTTGCTTTTACCTTTTAGACTTTTAAACTTATATATAAAAAAAGCGGTCATGGTGTAGTTTTTTCCAAGGCTCAAAACATTTTGTTTAATAACAAGGTCAACTTGACCCACAAAATAATATTTACCTTTTTCTTTAAAATTCCTGTTTTTACAGACAATTAACTTCATCGTTCTAATTTTAATATACATTACACAACAAAAGAAATATTGTACTTTTTTTTTGGATAGATATTACTTTTTAATGCAACATCCAATTATGTAATAAAAATTTAACCTTTTTTGTATTGTATGGCAACGAAATATTTTAAGAAGTTTAAATATGCAATCATCATCATAATATCGTCAGTCCTAAGACTGATTGGACACGCACCTCCACTCTTTCCTATCCTGCGTTAATCTCCGCATTTCCCTAATACTAGAACAACTCACATCCTTAACTATTTGCGAACAGTAATCTAATGTAGGTTTACCTGTACTCCTCTTAACGCCTGTAGTACAGTTTCCCTAATCTAGTTTTCGAAAAAAATATGATTTTTAGCATGATATGGCCGAGATTCACTCCCCATTTGCCCTTTTTCTCTGTAAAAATACTGTATACGTACCTGAAGTTGATAGTCTCGCATAACAGCGTCTAATTTTTCGCAAAGCTTTGATTCGATTGTTACTGTCATTCTCATGATCTTGTAACCATTTTATCAATGCCATCTCTGTAGGAGTTTTATCTTCATCTAGCTATGAAGAAATTGAAGTTATTTACGTAAAACGATATGCATATAAAAATAACTGTACAACAAATAAAAATTTTCAAAAAACTTACCACATCAAGATATCCAAGAATGCAGCGAGCAATACACTAAAATTAAAATTCAGAATTTATGCATTGAACATACTACTAATACCTATCGATATTAGAAACAGTAACAGGGGTCCGTGGGTGTGTTACAGGAATGGGCACCAGTCAGTGGATAAATCGATAGATAAATATGTTATTAGGTAATAGAGGCATGGTAAAAGCTAATGATTCTGTGTCAGAAGAACTTTTTTAGAAAACCAATCAAGATGGGAAAAGCTTTGAAGCTATGCCGTTGCGCTCGAGAAAGACGTCGGTAGTAGACATTTAGATATGTCAATCAGCATAAGTGCAGTAATAAGATTTATGTGGTCACATTCATAATTCGTTAATTTAATCTATTTTAAATGTTTTCTTCGTTGGCCCGTTGAAGTAGCAATTTTATCAGAGAACCAGAAACAAATAAAAGAGTAGCCAAAATTAATTTTTACTTCTACCGATTCAAAGTTAATACNTTAAAAGTATTTGAAATATGGTTTTATAAGAGAACTGAGTTCTTCGAATTATATTTAATACATTACATAAGGATCTTTTACCCAAAAATTTTATTAAATAACTTTTTAATAAGAGTGTACCTACAATTAAAGTCTTATATTGTTAAATGGTAAATACCTAATAATTCAATTGACTATTAATATATTTTCTGTTTGAAGCAGCAGATTTTTCTAATTATTACCTAATTGAATTGAGGAGTTAAAGTTTATGGTAAACTAAGTTCAAAATAATTTAAGAGTAGTAACTAGAAACGGGTTTCATCTAGCCACTTTCTTTAAGTTTCCGACTTTTTATAAATAATGACCCAGTGTGTAACTAGTAACAAATTTTGATACGAGTGAAGTTGGGCACAAGTCGAAGTTTATGCTGAGTTCACACTAGAACGAATGGGAAGTTTATTGTTCGAACAGAAAGCGAGTGTAATAACCACATAAGTACATATTGACGTAATTCAACTCATAAGAACTACCATACATTCTCACCATATTCTCACTTTTCTATACATAGTTAAATGTAATTGTAACTGTAAAAAAAATAGTCTTTCTACATAGCATTCGAAAGGTGTACTTCCTAGGGAGCGTTACATTATTAACTATTGGCAACAGTATTATTTAAATCGTAGTACAACGTACAAGGTTCTTCCATTTTCAAATTCTTTATCCGTATATAAATTAGTTTAGATGTAAGTTGGTACAAAAATTATAAAATCATTTCGATGATGAATGAATCAACCTAATTACTATAAATAAAAACAACGATATCTGCTCGAAAGGTTGTTCAGAAACGTTTTATTTCATCGATAAGTTTCGAATTCTTTTTAGAAAAAAAAAACAATATATAACAAGTCATTTTTAAATCCAAATAGTTGTGATATTCACCTACTAACTTGTGTGTATGAAACGCTTCATTTTATACTATAGTTCTTGACATTTCGTCACTAATCGGTGTTACCTTCTTCATTATTAGGGATTGTTCGTAAAATACGTTCGCAAGTAAGGTGGAGAAAGGGTGACGAGATATGACAAGGACGGACGGTTTAAGGAAATGCGACGTTCGCAGTTTATCAATTTTTAAAGTTTTTCATAGAAGGTCATTCTTGTCGTTATTTTTAATCACAAGAAATCGTCTATAGGGGAGGTGGACTAGCTTTTATGACGTAGTATTTGTTAGGGGGTCGCTGAATGACGAAGAGGGATGGTGGTATCCAAAAACGTAAAAAGTGACGATTTTATGCACGATCCCTTACTGAACTTTACTTACTCCGGAACTTTTAAAACAATCAAAAATTTACCCAATCGTGGAGATTAGTTTTGTTTTGTTGGAAAAGTATACAACACAAACTCATTTCCTTACATTGTACGCAAAAAATTGAGATATTCGTAGTTGTTATTAAATTTAGAGCATATTCGGTTAATTTTATTAATTATATATTTATTATGTATTAAATAGTATTAGACATTATTATTTGTTATGTACATATTCAGAATTTGGAATTTTTTTGTCGCTATACCCAAATAAAAGAATAAATCTATTTCTCATTTACTGCTTTATTAAATGATGATAATAGACACATCCAAGATTAGTTATAACACACCAGGGCCGGACTGATCCGGGGTGCAGGGATGCAAATGCACCCCTGGCCAAATGACTCAAAAAATGTGAAAAAAAAAAAGAAATTAAAAATAACTTTTTTTTAAAACAAGAGCAAAGACCGAGGCAAAGACAAACGCAAATTTCCTCCTAACTTCTTAAATTTATTTAAAAACGAGTGCTGTTAAAATTTGTGCACTTTTCCTTCTAAACCAGGTCATTTGGTTACATCGCACCCCGGGCCAAAATCTTCAGTCCAACTCTGCACGTATTAGTTATTCATAAACGAGATCGTATGTCGAGGCATTTAACATTTTAAATGTTATATTCAAATTTCAGCTAATTTTAACTTCACAGTAGGTATTCACAATAGGCTCTGATTTTTTTTAAACCATGTAATGAGCAGATATCAATAAGAAGTACTCCTACCGGTGAACAATTAGTTTTTTTTTGTCCCGTTTATATTTCACACTCATGAACTCATTTTTAATTTTTTAATAGTTGGCAGTCTTGAACTTATTTTACATATATATATATATATATTTCATATTTGAACGTTCTTTTTCATGTTTTAAAAAATTGATAAACTTTTGGCAATGCTACGATTGCGGTCATTTTGAACTAGTTTATAATAGCATATTATTTTCTATTCAACTTTTAAATAATATCAAAACAAGTAGGGGTCCCTTTCTTTCAAGAAAGAGTCAAGTAAAGGTACTGATACCTAGTAATTAACTCAGTACCGTTTCATTCTTACATATTTCATAACTCTCGGGCAATTAATGTTTAAATTTTAAAATTAACATTGTTTATAAAATACTGAAATATAACCACAAGGGTAAATTGTAACTGTATCTTTTTTTAATTTCCGCAGATATATTTTCCGTTTATTAATTGCTTGGTATTTTACTGGAATGATCAATTATAAGTTTGGAATATGGGCAATAGACAAAATAAAACAAGTAAATTACTTTAAAAGAACTTTTTATTAATGTTAAAATGTTGTTGCAAACAACAAAAACTTCAACATTTTTATAACAGAAAATACAAATCCGCGTGTATTAACAAAATCCGACTAAAATAAGGTGGGTAAAAATAGGAAGTATAAATATAACAAGTACACCCTCGTCGTCTTTTAATTGATGATAATAATTATTATTGATTAGCAACGCGATGGCGCGCTATTTTCTACTTTCCTGGTCGCAATCGCGACTTATATGGCCCGGCTTGTTGCATATATAGCACGTCTTTGTATTTTCTGGACAATTACGAGAGAGATGACCCTTTTTGTTGCAGTTGTAACAAGCCTGGGTCGAATTGTTACCCCCTTCTGGACAGGTTCGGGCTATATGACCTGGCTTGTTGCAGTTGTAACAGGACGGCTCGTCTGGACTTTGAGAGCAATCTTTTGCAAAGTGACCTTCAGAATTACATCTGAAAAACAATCAAAATTAAAATTAAAATAAACAAACCCCTATATTCCTTTATGTCTCTAACAAAAATATAATTTTCCCTTAACATTACAAGAAGTTTGGATTATATCAAATTAATGACCTGTAGCATCTTTGTTCAGCTTGCTCTTTGCATTCTCTTGCAAAGTGGCCAAATTTGTTACATTTGTAACACTTTTCACGTCCTCTGCCATAACTACCACCCCCTCGGTTTCCTCCTTCCTGGCATTCCCTAGCGAAATGACCAGGTTGGCTGCATTTGTAACACACTGATGAACTCATATTTAATTTCTGCAAAGATGAACATGCACAGAATTAACTGATAATAAAAATTTTAAAAAAACTAATTTATTCCTACTTTTTTAATTTTCTAAAAGCACTTTTACCTGTATAATTATAAAAAACTAGAATTTAATAAAAAAACAATTTTCTTTTACACGTGCTATTTTTCAATCACTTCATGACTTAACTTTTTCCTGTTTGATTTAATTATTTATCAAAATTATTTCACTAGTTTCAAACACTAGTTCACACATGTTACTTGATCTGAGCACCTAGTTAAACAGACTTCCTCAAACAACAACTTTCTCTCAATATCTAAAGACAACTACATCTTTAGGTCCTGACCAGTCATGAATGAACATGCAAAAACCTGTTACAGCACGTTTGACTTAATAATGCCTTAGGCCATTAGACCATCAGATCTCGTATTGCTTAAGTACTACATGTGTAAAACATTTACACTTATACATGTATATCCACATAATATAAAGTGGGTCCATGAAATATTCATAAGATAACAAAAAATTTATGCACCGCTTCAAAGTTAATTAGGCAATTTTATTTAGTCGTGGTAAAAGTTTTCATAGTCTATAAAAGTGTAAAAGAATACTTATAGCAACATTTGTATAGTGAACAGAATTGTGTAATTTTTCTAAAAATTAATACAATCTTATCCAGCAGATAAGATTAATATATATTTATGCAGTTAAGTTATTATTGTGGTTATCATTGAAAAAGTGGTGATTTAGTATCCAAACTAAACCCAGAACTTACCTTATTGATGTGTACAGAAGTTGACGAAATTGCATAAAAAGAAACATCTGCTACCCAAAGATATAGTTTTACTGTTATACATTTAACAGAAGGTTAAAGTATCTCACAATTTAAGCAATGAACCATGTTGTATTGTCCCCATTTCAGGTGTTTTTTCTTATGCAAACTTGCCTCTATTTCTGTATCACATGTTAAACTCTTAATTTAATTATTTGTCGGAATAAGAAAATTACCTGCAAAAGTATAGAAATAGAAACATTTGCGTCTTATGTTCGATAAACTGCACTTTCATAACATTGATATCAACATTTAGAAGATAACAAAAATCAACTTAGAAGTTAGATTCATCGTCAATATCTTAAATGATTCATGCCTTGAAAATGACCTTTACATTATTACATTTGATATTTTCATAACAATTTTCAGGCGAAATCTTACACACTGGTTCTGTAGTCTCATACAATGTGAATATGTTTAATATAGATTGGTAAAAATCAATCACCATATGCATGCAATCATCTTCATAATTTATCTGAATATATATTTTTAGGTATAATCCTGTACTAATACAAATAATAAGGCAGTTACTTAAAAATTACCTTATAGAGCACCTTTGGGAAATTATTGTTAGTATTTTATCGTATAACATACTTTGAAAGCATGTAGGTGAAACATGAACCTTAAAAAATGTAAAGCTGTTTCGGTGACTTAGTAACAAAATAGAGCATCAAATCTTAAATTCATCCATCCAATCCTTTGTATATTGCAGGCTTTTCACGATTTAATAATAATTTAGTGCATATGGGTGCTTCTAACGATAATATAACCTAAAGTAGTTGCAAACAACAGAATAGTACACGTGTATGAATGAACTTGATAAATATAAGGTCAGTAGTTGGAACTTACCTCAAGTAGCAAACAACGAAATGGTCTTACTATTTAAACAATAGTCTAAAAAACCCATTCAATTTAACAGTCCAACAACTACGTAACTGGACACGCAGTAGAAATAAATGAAACAACACCAGAACACCAAATTCCTAAGCACTTCACAAAAACCATTTGGGATCGAGAATGAAGCCGGTAGCAATGCAAATCAAATGCGCAACTTTCATCGGTCTTTTTTTGACTACTGTAGTACTTTCCGGTACATATCTTACCGCCATATTTCAAATTTTTATTTAAAATTTCATTTTGCTTGAGCCATCAAAAATTAATAAAACACCGAAAATTAAATCAAATTAAATACAAAATTTATGAAGTAATTTAACTTGCTAATAACGAAATTGTTTTGTTACCTGTAATAATTCTTTGTTTACATCAGACAATTTTAATTTTTAAGAGTTTACTTTCACTTTAATACTTTATAATTTATTAGCAATGTAAATGTTTATTAGATATTTTTTGTTATTAATATTTTATTTTACATAAAATGTTATTGTGATTACTAGGCAGTGATTTGAAAAGAAGTGCTCAAAATAAAATTTCAACGGAATAGTAAATTCATCGTTTTTCGGAAATAAGTATATACATATTTTTTATAACAAAAAAGTTTTTGATTTATAAATCTTAGCCTTCGGACTCTGACACTTTAGACACCTTCGGTGATAGCAACACCTATCTATGGTCTTGTAACCTTCACAACATCTAACGTACATTAACATAACCAACAGAAAAGTACAATATTCGAAAATTTTGTGCAATAAGAAATAAAAATACAAAATGATGAACACATCACTCAAAACCTTAAACCAGATCTCCGATTTCTTAAAGATTCCAGTTAAGAATATTCACATAAACGAAAAAGAGGTTAATAGATAATGTTTACATAATGGTATTGGTTGGTTTTAAAAAGTTTTTACAAGTTTTAATTTGTAGCTGCTTACCTGTACAATAGACAAAAAACCAGTGTGTGGATTCATTAATATTGTTTCAGAATTACTGCGAAAATCTTCAGTATTAAATTATAATGGCAATATAGAAATATATCAGTGGCTAGAATATGCATTAGTATATGCCTCTAAGGTAGACTGTGCTACTAATTCACGACAAATTTTGGATGTAAGTTTTTACTTTGATAATTAATAATGTCTGTCTGTAAAATTTATTTCCCTGCTTTAGGAATTAAACGAAATCTTAGCCAACAGAACTTATTTAGTATTGAACATATTAACTGTAGCAGATGTTACATTGTTCTACTTTCTTCACAACACAATGGTAAAGTCTTTGTAAGCCTCAAAATGATTTTTATTAAATTATTTATCTTTTAGGCTCATCTTTCTAATGTAGAAAAAGAAAAGTATATAAATGTTTGTAGATGGTTTGATAATTTACAACAAAATCAATGTCTGACAAATAGAAAAGAACTTGTGCAATTTAACACCAATTATCTTTCTTTATTTGTACCACTAAAACACTTATAAATATTATTTATTTAATACAATTTAAATTTAATTTTTTTGTGTTAAGTTGTTACATACTTTTTCCGTTCTAATCCTGTTCTTTTTATCCAATAATTACTGGGTAATAGGGGTAAACAACTGGGTACCAAACATATGCACTTTCTGCCCCTTCCAAGTTTTCTTCTTTTTCTTGATTCCTAAAATACAAAAGGTTTATACAATTGGTCTCTTGAGTATTCGTGAAATCAATTATTTGAGATAATTTTAATTCTTACTCTCTTTTGTTTCTGATGGTTAAAGGTGAACGTATTGCGTTAAGTAAATCGTTCTTGGTGTTTTCTGGTACTCTAAAAGTAACGGTTGATTATTACTTAAAAAAGTATTAATCAGAAATAACACTTGATAGTGTGAACATCATAAAACAGAGAGCCCGCATAATGTGAATAGCATTTTAATTTTGCTAGAACACTTTATACTCCGTGAACAAACCATACCTTCAGTTATATAGAAACGAATGTTCATAGGAGTTAATGTAGTAAGCAATCGGCAAAAGAAAATGTTAGTAGTAGGGACTTCATAAGTATAAACATAAAATGAACAAGAAATGAGATTTGATTCTTCTTTTAGGACCTTGAAAAGCATTATTCTAATTGTAAAGTTAAAAAAATAAAAATATATATGTTAATTGTACTCAAATTTTTTTATTAAATTGGAATGTATATTTTCATCTTTTCTGAAAGTTTAAGAAAGGCATTATTTTAGTATTTTTCTTATCACTATTACAATTTATTGATTATGTCTTGTGACATAATTACTGATTTTATGAAACGTACCCTCTTTTCTGTCTAATAATGAATGAATAAGGATTTGTATCTTGTTTCGGATAAGAACGTGCCATCGTCACGCTAAGAATTATCAATAAACTAATGATGAGAACCTAAAACAAAATTAGTTTGTCACACAAAAACATTTCTCTTTTGTTTTGCTAATTAATTTTTCATTTAATTTATATTTATCCCGGGACAACTACGGGTACTTCAAAATTGACACAGGTACTTGAAAACCAATAAGTAAATTTATATATTTACTAAATTTCGCGTGTAGCTAATGTTTGACCTGTTATAAATTACGTTACGAGTGGCGTAGCTAGATAATTGAAGACTCAGACGCAAAATATTTTTGAGGCCTAAATTACTCCATAACATTGGTTAAAATTTCATTTATTGTGTAAAGATGTAAATATTACTTAAACTACGATACAAAACAATGGTAACCAATATAACAAATAGTGACAAAAATAAGATGGCATAATGTTTACAAAAAATAAATCCGTTCAGCCATCATTTTTTCCGGGGATGGAGCTCCTTCACCGCTTGGGGCGCCAGTGCACGGCACCCCCTAGTCTTATGATAGCTACGCGCCTGTAAATCAATTGATTTGATTAAAAATTTACGTATTTTAACAAAAATGCAACATTTGATTGAACGTATGGATTATCTATATTTTTCCACCAGGGCTATCTGAAACTATCACATGATTCTCTGAAAACTAACTGAAACTAATTATCGAAGTCTCAAAATGCTTTGAACAAAGCGTAAAACTCCTCAAAAGGTTTAAACTGCATTTATTAGACTTATATTATTTTATCATTTATATGCAAAAATAGTTGAAGGCATTTGTTTTAATTTCCCTATAACATCTTGTGTTTTTCCAAAAAATATGTCGCCCTTTGATGATCGCATGAAACAGAATTTCCCTCGGCTTCGCCTTTATTAGATAAGATAAATTACATCATTTTTACTATTGTTTAATAATTTTTTTAAAAATATGGTCAGTTATGGCTGTATTAACGTGATTTTTCATTGTACCTATTTTCATTTTTGAAGACGTTATATCCACAAAAAACTAAAAAAAAAATGATTTTATTTACCACAGTTTTCATGACTGTTAAACTCGTCAAACACTACACAGTTTACACAATTAGATGTAACTATTACAAAATGAATTGCTTTGATTTTATATCGTCTTATATGTATTTATAATGTCTGCTAAAAAGGTATTACTGACAGAAACAATAAATTTCACATGAAACGTGAAACGTTAATATAATAAAAACGGTTCTGTAAACAATTAAACAGTAATCACAATTGCCATGTAATATAAATAATGCATGTATGTATTGATTACAGTATTGATGCTGAAATGATTAATATTAACAATTAAAGCTTTTTTCATGTTACGCAGTTGTAATTGAGCATTAGATAAAAATATATTTTGGAAATACTAAAAGTTTATTTGTAAAATGTTATGAATAATATAACTAAAAATTTCATAAACGACTTTTTAAAATCATAACTTTTGTGTATGACTCTTGCGATGAATTTATGGAGATTATCATGTCCTTCATCGTTGTCAGGTATATTTATTATTTTCCGTTTCTTAGCCCATAAATTTATTACTTTTTAATTTGTTGCATGTATTACGATGATGTAATCTTGAAAGAAATACATTTTGCTTTTTATGTAGAAAAAGATTTCATTGTTACCATTGAGGGACATTTTTTATAATTGCCCTGTGTTAATACAATACATTTATTTTGAAATAGAAAATTAAGAAAAATTATTTATTAAAATTTTGTATTCTATAGGGAGGTTAAAGGGTGTTGAGCTTAAGTTGTTATAAAGAGAAAAAATATACATCGAATTCAGTTATTGCTTTATATAATATTTCTTGTAATTGTGAATCAGTACTTGAGATAATTTTAATTCTTACTCTCTTTTGTTTCTGATGGTTAAAGGTGAACGTATTGCGTTAAGTAAATCGTTCTTGGTGTTTTCTGGTACTCTAAAAGTAACGGTTGATTATTACTTAAAAAAGTATTAATCAGAAATAACACTTGATAGTGTGAACATCATAAAACAGAGAGCCCGCATAATGTGAATAGCATTTTAATTTTGCTAGAACACTTTATACTCCGTGAACAAACCATACCTTCAGTTATATAGAAACGAATGTTCATAGGAGTTAATGTAGTAAGCAATCGGCAAAAGAAAATGTTAGTAGTAGGGACTTCATAAGTATAAACATAAAATGAACAAGAAATGAGATTTGATTCTTCTTTTAGGACCTTGAAAAGCATTATTCTAATTGTAAAGTTAAAAAAATAAAAATATATATGTTAATTGTACTCAAATTTTTTTATTAAATTGGAATGTATATTTTCATCTTTTCTGAAAGTTTAAGAAAGGCATTATTTTAGTATTTTTCTTATCACTATTACAATTTATTGATTATGTCTTGTGACATAATTACTGATTTTATGAAACGTACCCTCTTTTCTGTCTAATAATGAATGAATAAGGATTTGTATCTTGTTTCGGATAAGAACGTGCCATCGTCACGCTAAGAATTATCAATAAACTAATGATGAGAACCTAAAACAAAATTAGTTTGTCACACAAAAACATTTCTCTTTTGTTTTGCTAATTAATTTTTCATTTAATTTATATTTATCCCGGGACAACTACGGGTACTTCAAAATTGACACAGGTACTTGAAAACCAATAAGTAAATTTATATATTTACTAAATTTCGCGTGTAGCTAATGTTTGACCTGTTATAAATTACGTTACGAGTGGCGTAGCTAGATAATTGAAGACTCAGACGCAAAATATTTTTGAGGCCTAAATTACTCCATAACATTGGTTAAAATTTCATTTAT